CACACACACACACACTCTTTCAGTGATTCAAAGGAAGGAAACCTAACTTCTGTCAGCCCACACATTGCCCTAACCCCTGACTTGGCTCAGTGTAAACAATGACATGGACACTGCAGCTTACTGTAACAAGTCACTGATCTCTGGTGTGAACAGCTCAGAAACCAAGTAAAACAAGCATGTGACAGATATGTCCACTGGCATTCACAGCAGTTGCATTAGCACCATGGGACACAGAATTTTCTCGGGGATAGATTTAAATTATCTCATTTAAAAAAAGCTACTTTTGTAAATATAAACCCCTCTCTTAAAAGCTAACCTCTACGATCTCTTCTTCCCAGGAGTTGGAGTTCTTGCGGGTGGCCAAGAAGGAGAAGCTGCGGGAGGCGACCGAGGCAAAGCGAAATCTGAGGAAGGAGATTGAGCGCCTGCGAGCCGAAAGCGAGAAGAAGATGAAGGAAGCGAACGAGTCACGGATCCGTCTGAAGCGAGAGCTGGAGCAGGCCCGACAGCTGAGGGTCTGCGACAAAGGCTGCGAGGCCGGACGTCTTCGCGCAAAATACTCTGCACAGGTCAGTCACAGCGTGTGTTGATGTAGCTTGTGAAAGGTTAGAGCTAGATTTCGGGATGCTGACAGGCTTAAATCTTGGGTAAAACGTCTTAGGAACGAGTAGACCGACATTAACAATCCAATGCAAATGAAGTCTAGATGATTCACCAACACCCTCAGAGTAATTGTAGTGTTTCAGAGTTTCACTGTCTCAGATACTCTGAAGGTCAGCAGAGGAGAAGGCGAGAAAAAAAGCCCACGTTTCCTCTTCCCCAGTCAAAAATAAATGGGTGTAGCCTCAAGTGCACAGACGTATGATAAGTCCCCTTCTGAAAGGAAACAGGAAGAGACGTCGACTTCCCTCAGGCACCATGGGAAATGCAGATTAGACAAAACAAGAGGGAGGTTATGCTCTCCAGCTGCGTCTCCCTGCAGAGACTGCAGTCATCTTTGAAAGGCTGTCATTAAGATGGTTTAGACGTTTATGTTGCTGCAGCCAAGGCTAAGGACAGGAAAAAGCTCTCAGCATTATCTTAGTGCTCTGAAAGGTCATTTTGCTTAAAAGGCCATCAGTTTGATTCAAGAGTCTGTGTGTTCAAGATAAAATCTAGAAACTTTTTCACCACTAACTTTCTGAAAGAAGTTACACTGACATACGTAAAATCTAATAAAATTTGGCCAGCCCAAGCTTTCCTTTGTATGGGCTAAAGCACTTGTTTATATTCTGATCACACAAGCATGGAACATAGCAATAGAATCTATTTCTACATTTACCAACCAAAGGCAGAACATTTGAGCATTTATTTGCCAAATTCAGAATTTTTTGTCAGTTTTAGTCAACATTTCTTTACTGACGAAAACTAGACAATAAATTAAAAAAAAGACAAAATCCATTGACATTTCAAATACTATAATAAAACTAATAAAAATGAGGTGAAAATGCTGGAGATCCAATCAGAACTCATCTCTTTGTGTGGGAGGGAGGTTAGATGAAAGCTAACTTTGTGTTTTCACTAAACCGGAAATACAATACAGGCTCAGATAAACCACGCTGTCCTGTACTGATGAGCGAAGTGTATAACCCAGAGTGGCTAATCTTAGATCGTAAATTAGTTGTATTAATCATTATAGATGTTTCCTCCAGGAGTACGGAAATTCTAGAGAAATGTTTAGATAATGCATTGCACTTTAACTCAACCAGTAAACCCATGTTTAATCGATTGCATTAGTGTAGATTTAATCGAAACAATTCAGATGACTAAAGTGAAATGGCATTTTAGTCCAAGGATTAAACCTAAATCAACATTTGTAGTCAGATCTGTCCTGCTGTAAGATTTCAGCTGTTTCTTTGGTTTTCCAGATCGAGGACCTCCAGATGAAGCTGCAGCACGCCGAGGCCGACCGCGAGCAGCTCCGAGCCGACCTGCTGCAGGAGCGGGAGGCCAGGGAGCACCTGGAGAGGGTGGTGAAGGAACTACAGCAGCAACTCTGGCCAAAATCCAACAGTGACAAGGAGGGGACGCTCAAGGACATGCCAGCTGACAACTAACCCAGCAGCCAACCTCACCACCCAACCATTCCCCCACCCCCGCCCCCCCATCGCCATCATCCCCCAACATCTTCTGTCCAACCCAGACCATAAACACACCCAGGAGTCCTGGGCCGGCCACATTGCACCGCCGTCCATCATGCTCGCCCTCCAGAACACAAAAATGACAGACTCACCCTCCGACCAGAGACAGAGAGAAGGAATGTGTCCTCATCCGTGCCCATGAAAAGTTAAGTGAGTGCTTTCCTTGGAGAATGACTGGAAACAGCAAAGTACAATGATGCAACAAGGAAACGTGTGTTTCTGAATCAAGCACTGACTTGCACCTTCCAAACTCACAGAACTGAAAACTGGACCACAAAACCGAAAGAAAAACACATGTATAGCACAAAATGTGTGTGCCTGTATTGACAAGAAGACAGGGTGAGACGTTTGGACGGATGTCTGAGACAATAAATGCTGAAAGATGATCATGTTATGTAAGAGTTCTGTAGCTGTTGAGAGGTGTTATAGCGGTGTGGCCTGGAGGTCAGGGCTCACATTTAACCCCGGATAAAGTCTCCACCGCCGTCCCTCTCCACGACGAAGATGGAGGATTTTGAACACATTATAAGCTATTTAAGAGACTACATAGCGATATGTAAGAAAAAAAGACAGTTTTGTTATTCCTCTGTGCTATTGGAGAAAATATAATAGATACAAATGAATTAGAAGATGAACAAAACAAGCAAATGAACTTTCCACAGTGCCACCGTGGTTTTGTCGGTTTTTCAGGAAGCCATCGCAGTCCGCTGAGGGGGAAAAGCATCGAGATTGAACTTCAAGCACCCTCTCTTGTCCTCCAATTGTTGTTTTATAAAATCATTTATTTCTAAAGTCGGGTGGACTTCGGGTTGATGTTTTTCCCCAGATCGGGGATTGGAAATAAAAACATGCCGTTTTGAAGTCAGCTTTTTAGCGAGCACCTGTTTTGGATGATCAATAACGATATACACAACAGTCGACATCTCGGCCTGTCTCACACACACACAAACACACACAAACACACACATACACACACACACACTGGTTGCTGATATGTTATTTTAAGCATTTGGGTCAAAACCCTGAAGTCTTTGTCTTCTAAAGATAAAATACTCTAGATGGAAGTGTGGCCGGTGACAGAAGCCGGCATGTTTTTATGGCATCAGAACCATCATGTGTAGAATCATAGTGGGCTGGATGGGGCACCTTTGGCAAGAACCACAAAATGTTCATTTTAATTAAATTAAGGTATGTAAATATAAATATATGTTGTTTTTTTTTTAATTTTACAATAATGAATCGCACTTTGTCATAACAAAATACTGTTATAATGCATTGTACTCCCACTATTGTCTTCAAGCTTACTTTGAAAACATCATCTTATACATGACTGCTACCATATAAATCCAGTAAGCATTTTGTTGATTATATGCATCTCGAATAAATACTGTTGTTCTGTTTTCTTAAGGCAAAGTATTGTAAATAAACGGTAAGAAAAAAAGGCTCCACCTGATGCTTGCTGATGCAGTCTGGGATTGTTGGAACGTTTTGGGCGGCTCCCATTTTCTTTTTTTTTTTGTAATATAATTGACACAGATGTCGCTCGAGCACCCGGTTACAACTCAGTTTGACGCAGCTCGGCGAGGTGAATGGTTGCAGGAGCCTGAACAAACAGTCACATGTTCGAAGAATAAAATCCGATTTTATTCCAAAGGCAGAGGCCACGAGTCTGCCGTCACGTAGTGGGTACAATGCAATCAGAATGTACATTGTGTTAATGCTATTTTTCCTTTGGTTGTTGATGTTGTTTTAAACGTGGAGATATTTTATTGCTTGTCTGTTATGTTCACTTTTTTCAATAGAAAACTCATATTTTCTTTATGCATGAAATTTGAGATACATGAAGTTTGCCATACATATAGTCAGTTATTGGGCATTGATACTGTACATGTAAGGGTTTTATTGTGTTATGCAATATAAAGCAATTTGTCTTATTCAGAACAGGAGAAAGTAATCAAAAAGCAACACACCGTGTATTGTTCTTAAGAAAAAAAAAAGCTTCACACTCGCAAAAAAACAAAACAAAACACAACAAAAAAAGTTGTTTTCTTAAACGCAATGCTGGAAAACCTCAAGTGCCTGGACGTGGGCGAAAGGTTTCCAGAGTAGGGAAAACTGATGATGAAGCTGTTGGGGCTGGGCCTCTCATCAACTTCCTGTTTGCAGGTTTCAAATTAAAAGCCCCTCCCTTGCTCAGCAGCTGTGATACAATAAAATAAAAAATCAGTATTCCTAAAACCAACCAGTTTACAAACTTTTGTCCTTTTTCAATGCAGAGAACAATTGAACAAACGCTAGATGCTTAAGGCTTTTTTCCTGAATGAGTGCTCTTTTTCTTCATTTGAAATCAATGATATGCATGTTCAAACAATTTTTATAGAAGACCTTGAAAAGCCACTTGCTTCGGTGAATTGTTACTTTGGGTTGTACATAAAGACTTAACTGTTTATTCCCAGTTTGTTGACCTGTCCTGAGGCAGACACGTCGAGGATAATAAAGAGGGCATTATGTTAAAAGCCCTTTTCTTATCTAACATTACTGATGTTGCTCAGAGAACAACACTGCGACTTTGGCAGACCTAAAATTGGTACATTTTGTAGTTGTTTTTACACTCAAAAGAGTTGATAGCCTATGTGTAGTTTACTTTACTCATGGTTTTCTACAAAAAAAGGGAGACCATAACGACATTGGCTCTTCACTCTCCCACGCAAAAAGAAAAAAGCAGTTTAACAAAGTCTTGTTTTCTAAAGGAGAATCATTTTGCTAAATAATGGACAGTAAAGCAGCAATAACAGTCCATATTAATAGACAAATACTAGCCAGTGTGAAGATTTGAATAAGAATTTACAAATGTAAATATGTTTTTCATTTACGATATTGTATAATATATGTACATGGTGTTTCCTTTTTCAAAAAGAAATCTTTTCTTACAATAGCTGTCTTGTTTTTTTTTGTTTTTTTTTGGAATTTGTGTTTTAACTGAGATGTTTCAAAAACAGTTAATGCAGTGCGTAAGAGAATATTCCCTACATAAACATGTTAATCCATTATTTTCATTTTTTTTTTACTGTAGAGTCTTTATATTGAATGACTTTTTTCACCAGTTCATATATATTTTTAACAGTATGTTCAGTATCAGATAGCAGAAACACACGCGCACACACACACACACACGTACGTGACTACGCCACCTTGCAGATTGTTTCCCCCTCATCCTCATGTATCTTTTTAGCCCTGTGCTGCTGCTAATACTATATAAACCTTACAATTCTAGAAATATTTTTATGTAAGAGGTAAATGTAAGCTTTCCCATTTATTAATGCCACATATACAGTATGAAAAAAAAGCTTGGCATATTCATCTATCTCCTTTGTTTCCCCTCATCTTTTCACGCCTTTTTCCTCATCCCTCCTCCAACAGCACCCCTCCCCTTCTCTCACGACACGGACTATATTGTAAAGTAAAGGACTTTATGAGATTATGTTTGAAAATAGCTATGCTTATATACTACAGTGACTGAATGTACAGTGTATAGATGCATTACCAGAAATAAAGTTGTTTGTCCATATTGAATGACCCAGTTTCCTGTTTTTGCTGCTGGTTTGGCAAACAATACTAAACCTTAATTATCTAGCAAAGATTGCAGAGCGAGTGCTTTTTTCTTCTAATTCATCTCGCTGAGGAAAATTAGTTCAGCACTCTTTATCTACGGAAATATTTGTCGGCCAAGAAGGAGATGCTGTCCTGCTGTCAGGGTTTTTTTTAAGTCACACACACACACACACACACACATAATCTCAAGACTGGTTCTCAACCGCCACAAGTGGTCACAAAAAAATCTGTAAAAATATTGAAATTCACTTAAATTCAATTCTATTTTATTTGTATAGCTCCAGAATCAGAAATAGTTTTTGATCCATGGGGGGAAATTGGTTGCTTTACAGTTGCTCAAGTTGATAAACAAGACTTAGAAATATAAATTATAAGAAAAATGCTTAATTATGTGCATCATATCCATTTTTCTGATATTTTATATTATATTCAATGCATAACAGTAACAACAGAGAACAACAGATAAACTGTACAATGAACTCAAACAGTGAACACAATAACTGCAGGAAGTTTGTGTAAAACCAGTGCTTTGGATGAATTTTGAGCAGAGATCTGTTTTCCTGATATTTGTATCTGCAATATGTCATTTTTTAGAATTGTTAACAAGCATACATACTTTGTTTGCTCTGTGAATAAAGCTTGTGTTCAGCTCTTCAAAGTTTACATCCCAAATAAAAACATAAACTTTAAAAATAATAATTTAATTTAGTTCTTCATGGAACTAATTGAAATGCAGTTTTCTCATGCCTCATACGGGCAGCAGTAGCTTAGTCTGTAGGTAACTGGAGGGTCGCTGGTTCAAGTCCAGCACAGACAATATGGAGTGTGAACTGGCAGCTGGAAAGCTTGGGGATTGATAAAGTATATCTTCTTTTTTTTTAAATCAAGAAGGCCTTGCCACCCGTGTGAAGCTTGGGCGACCCCTAGTGGTCGGTTGGGAAGCACTGGTTTAATAGATGACCAAGAATACTGATACGGAGTAATGGCGGCTAACGACGGCTAACAGCGGCTAACGAAGGCTAATTACCTACTGTCCGTGGCCTGACTTGGAAGTTTTTGTCCTGTTTCATTTTGTTTTAGTGTTAATTGTTTAGCCTGCTGAACTTTGCTTTAGCATGTTGCTAAGTGGCTACTGCATCAGGCTGCATTTTGGACTAACGTTAATGTTGTAATGTTGAGGGTCAGTGGAGAGAAGCCTCATTGAAAGCCAACTAATTAACGACAGGAGCAGGTTGGATGCCGGTAACTGCTTTGTTTTTCATGCTGCTTTTTCTGTTTCTGTTTCTGCTTTTTCAGGAACAAATCCCCCAAAAAGCCTTTAGTTTTTGAGATACCAAGTCATTATTTTAAGACTACCAGAACAGTGTAATGTATAGGGTTGTGTAAATGTGTGCAGAGAGGGACATAAACACTATATTTAGACATAATCTATATGCTTTTATGCAAACAGGCAATAGACAGTTCTTTATCATTCTATTTCTATATGTTTATGTTTGAATAAGGTATGATATGGTGATACTATGAGCCAACCAGCTGCTTGAAGAGGAGGGAGAATTTTAGTCGTCCAAGATTTTTGTTATAAGATTTTTGTTGCCCTAAATAAGTTTGTGCCAGCATGCAGTATCAGTGTGTAGGCTACTCTGTGACTATACATTAGCAGCAGATCAGCAGACTGCAGCGCACACTGCTGTGCAGTTATTTGTTTGTGCGTCATTCATTTCCACCTGTATTGATTTCATTTTACAGGCAATTCTGTTGAATATCTTTCGGTGCTTTCATAGCATAGAATAGAAAAGAAGTGGAAGCAGAAGAAGAAAGAGTAATTAGAGGCTCGTACAATATCTATTCCACTAAAAACCAGTACACTAAAATATGTTTCTGAAACAATTTTAGTAGAGAAATAGTCAACGCAGTAACAGAATGTTGATTGATCTGATCAGCACTGCCTAGTTTGACAGTTTGATCTGAGTTCAATGTGCTGAGCTGGATGGACTCACTGAGAATGATCTGTCAATCACAAGGTAGCCTTGAATCTCTGTCCATCATTCTTATCCTTTTTTCCCTTAAGGAAAACCATACTTATATTGATTTTATTGATATTATAAACTGTACAGTGAACTCAAATACTGAACACAATGACTACAGGAAGTGTGAGTAAAATGAATTATTTGGATACATTCTGAGCAGATTATTAAACATTGTATCAGAGATGAGTTTTCCTGATATTTTAAGGTCTGTATGATGTATGTTGTATTATTTTATCTCATGCTTGGCCATTGTCTATCAGGTCTTTGGTTGTTTTAACATTTCTAAAGCAGGATGTTTATCAGAGAGTGAAGGCTCTGTGGAGTTTACATCTTTAAAAAAGAATCATTTTTATTTTGAATTAGGGTTTCCTGACACTGACTAACATAAATCAATACATGCAGATACAATTAAAAAGCAAATAAAGTTAATATGTGTATGTGCAGTGAGCCAAGAGCTCAGGATTCCTCATTACAACTAACTGTCATTTTGTTATGATCAGGGGAGATTTTGAACATACTGCTGTGAGACTAGGTGGTTCACAGTATTTACGGGTGGAAAAGACAAAGGAATCAAATCTCAAAACAAGTTGGTTTCAGCCTGCAGACTTGTATCCCAATTACAGCATTCTCACAATAAAAACAACAAATTAAAGAAGCTGAGACAAAACAAGAAATAAAACTCTATTAAATGGGCAACGTCAGAATATAAAGAGGACAAAGAATGAAATACATGCAGCCCCTTTCAGCTAAAACAAAGTGGAGTTATTTCAGTGCGATGCAGAGGCCACTCTTAAGCGTACCAAAACAACACTAAACATTCTTCAGTTTCACCCTCTCATCCGGTTTATGTACACAGATATGGGTTCAGAGCAGCCGCTGGAGAAACCTCCGTAATTACTATGAAAACCTTAAAAAGGAAAAGATGAGCTGCAAACACTTAACTAGAAAGGAATGTACACTAGGTCTCAAGTTAACGCCTACACAGCCTGACAGCATTTGATGTAAACATTCATTAGCGTGTACACACATGCGGCCACAACACGCGGCTGTGTGTGTGTGCGCAGGGTACGTTAGCTGTAGGCCCGTCGGTATCCTGGGAGAGGAGAAGCAGCCGATGGAGGAGAGAAGCCGGTTTCTGGTTTAGTTGACGGCATACCTGCAGATAAATTAAAGACTTCAAAGCTTCAAATGCTACCTGAAATGTAATTCCATACCTAAATAAAGCTGGCACAGACTGCCATTATGAACGTGTAAACTATAAACTGAAAAGAAAGAGGATGTTAGAAACAAACTGTGAGATAACAGCAGTGACTAAACCCACGTAAACATTTGCTCCATTGAGAAGCTGCTATTGTCTGTTCTACTCCAGTCTTAAGCTACCCCAAAACAAGTATTACTTAGACCAGTTCCCAGCTCATCAATTACTGCAGCTTGGTCTGTGGCCCTTCACAAAATGGCACTGTAGGTGCCCTACAGGACATTCAGGGCTCCAGCGTTAAGAGTTTATGGATGCAAACACTAGATTTTGTATAAAGAGCCAGAGAGTCCACATCTGGTGGAAGTTGAGTGGATGGAAGGCTCAATCAAAAACACAGTAGACCTCTGTTTGTGTTCCATTTGAAACCGAAAGTTGATTTCTTTATAGTTACTGTACATAGTTAACTTACTAAAGTTACATAATCAGGGGTTCCCAAACTTTTTCATTTCAAGGACCCCTAAAACAGATGCACAATAGACCAGTGGTTCCCAATGGGGGTCGGGTCCCGAGGTCTTCTTGATTTTAAGATATTAAGTAAAAACATACACAGTAGGCCTATATCTCAGCATCTGATTCACTTCTGTGAAGAAAAGTAGATGTAAAGTAAATTGTCTAATAGAACAGTTGTTCCCAACCCTTTTCCTCAAAGGACCCCTTTTCTATCATTTAGTAAACCCCTGGCTAAGTGACATATTTAATGGATATTTCATATTACATTCAAACCTGTACAGTGAACCCAAACAGTGAACTCAGTAACATTTGTGTAGAATTAGTGATTTGGATGAATTTTGAGCAGATTATTTCCTGTTTAGGAAACTTTTTCTGTATTATGTTATATATTTGTTATTATCTTTAACATACTTAAATACTTAATAGACTTCTGTTTTTTTTATTTTTTATTACAGCTTTTCTTGTCCCTGACCCTCAGCCATTGTTCTATTAGACAATAACCTAACAATTTACATTTACTTTTCTTCACAGAAGTGAATCAAATGCTTAGATATAGGCTTACTGTGTATAAGTTCTCTAGCACACCTTAAAATCAAGAAGGCCTCGTGGCTTTGGAGTCCCGACCCCCAGGTTGGGAACTACTGTAATAGAAGAATGGTGTCAGTCAGACACAAATGTCTTGCAGTTACTGAGTTCACTGTTTGGGTTCACTGTATGTAATGTAATATGAAATATCCATAAAATGTGTCACTTAATCAGGGTTCGTCAGTTTACTCAATGTTAGAAAAGGGGTCCTTTGAGGAAAAATTGACTTTACATCTAGTTTTCTTTACAGAATTGAAGCAAATGCTGAGATATAGGTCTACTGTCTATGTTTTTAAATTGTTGAAGGCGAGTCTCCCCTAGTGGGGGTCCCAACCCTCATTCAGAAACCACTGGTCTAATGTGCATGTTGGGTCCCTTGAGAAAAAGGTTGGGATCCACTGGATCCATCCAGAGATATTAAAGGGATTGCTACCATGGTATTTAAACATTATGGCAAAATCTGTCACTACTATACGAGTGTATGAAAGTATGAAGATAGAAAATCATTAGGATATGCACAATAACAGTAACAAGAAGTGTGCTCTAATACAATAACACACTCTAATACAATAGGCTTGTAAATGCCTGTTCTGCTCAGCCTGTCTTTCTGAGACAGTGTTAATGAGGGCCTGATTC